AAACATTAAAAAAAAAAAATCACCACAAGTGCTGAAATCGCACCTTCACAACCACAAGATAGACTGACATACTGGTTACAACAATGGACTCAAACCTTTGTTCAGAGTGGTGCAGGGCAGGACAATGGTTCATTCTGCTGTTCACCAGGAATCAGAAGCCGCTCAATGGCACCTAATAACACTTCATCATTGCTTCAGGGAACATACAGTTTCCTCCAAGTGTGTAGTCACAATATTTCCATCAACAGATCATTACATAGCCTTGTTTCATGTGTGTTTGTTTAACGACACGTTACTGAATCAGTATCATTGACTCGTTAGCACTGAGCTCACAGTCAGCGGTACTATAATATGTGTCTGAACACAGCTGATGTAACACACCTATTTTCTCCATAAGATACATCACACCCCTATCAGACATAGGCACGCTAGGCTTGGGGATCATTTTAAATAGTGAAATCATCCACCAAAAGCACAAAAATGGGGGGGGGGGAGGGGAAGAGGCCATTTGCAAACAGGCAGTTTGTTTATAGTGTGAGAGCTGAAGCCAGAAGGCAGAGCGTCACTACGCGGAGCCTCAGCTGAGAACCCAGACTTTCCTCGGCTCCCCTCTGCTCTTGTCTATGAATGGATCATAAGTCTTGATTTTCATATCACCACAGGTAGGCCTCAGAGATACTGCAGGTTCCCTTCCAGACCACCGCAATCAAAGGAACAGCGAGTGTTATTTAAGCAAATCGCACAAATATTTTGGGTTCCCAGTGTAGCTAAAGCTATCCTGATGTTAGACTGGAGTCTGTGACGAATGCAACATGGGATGTACACGTTTGAAAGATGGGAAGAGCGATCAATACGTGACTGTGAGCACATGCTGCTGGGAAAAAATGGCGCCATGCATACCAGTTTCCAACAACAAACACCAAAAGAGAGAAGTTACAGAAATGACGTAGATTTCAAGAAAATAAAAATAAATAAATCTAACTGTAACCCTAGGACTCGACTAAGCTTGACTCTTAGACCTAATTCAGCCTCTACCCCCAACACTGTTCCTAGTCCTGACCATAACCCTAACACTACATGAAGCCCTCGGCCTAACCTAGGCCTAGTCACGGACCCAATCCTAATTCTAACTCCATACTACTATTACCCTGCTCCCCCACAAAATCAGAGTTTGGACACAGAGGGAAACTTTACCCTAAAATAAAGGAATGATATAATGGTGCCAATAGACTCATTAGATGCAAGGTTGCCGCAAACCTTCTATTGGTTTAAAAAACTCACTACCTGCAGAGCACACGAAGGCGAAGCACCGCAAAGCAAGGGGCACCTGTAATGCATTTTAGTGAGTTCAGTGAATTCTCAATTACAGAACCCTCGGATATGAAGGCTGGGCGGTAATTGGTGGAGAATTGTTGTGCCTTAAAGGTTGGATCCCGGCATTTGGACCCAATCTTCTGAGTGACATGTTTTCCAGGTGCTCTTCCTCTAGCCTCCGAATATGGGGTTCAGACCCCCATCGGGGGTGACAGTTTAATCAGTGGCACCCAGTACCTGTCAGGGACCACCACACCGAGCTGGATTTCAGCCTTGCCCCCACCCTGGCTGGGTTCCCCAGGGACACCACCTCTCAGAGCTGTGGTCCACAGTGTTCATGTCATCCGCAGAGACCTTGAACTCACTGATGCGGATCCACTCATCAAAGCCGATCCCCACAGAGTAGTAGACATAGAGCTTGCCGTTGTGCTGGAAACGGGGGTGGAAGGCCAAGCACAGGAAGCCCCGCTCATCACCCTCCCATGGCGAAGTGAGCACCGCCTGGCTGATGTTCAGAAAGGGCTTCTTGAGCCTCGAGCGGTCCGGCAGGTAGGCCCACACCAGCCCCACCTGCTCAGCCACGAAGAAGCGGTGGGTACCGTCCCTTGTATGGACCATGGCCACAGGGTTGCGCAGTCCATTGGCCACCTCCTCCAGGCAGAGCTGCAGGCAGCCCTTGGCATCCGCCCGCACCTGGCCCAGGTTGGAGTTGAGGTTCTCATTGACCAACAGGCGTGGGAAGCAGTAGTCCACATCATCCAGGGCCAGGTAGTGGCAGAATTTAGCCTGGTTGCCCTCCAGTGCCCAGAGCTCATGGTCAGTGGAGAGGTGGCGGAACAGGCTCCGGCATGTCTGCCACATGTCCAGACAGTAGTCTTCGCAGAGCCCGGGCACCGTCCGCAAGGGTGTGGATGGGTCCTCAGCGTCGTAGAGGTGGGCTGCGTAGGGCGAGCATTCCTGCGGAGACAGGGGCAGCTCAGAGATGCTCTGTGTGGGCCCCCACCAGCAGTGTGACCGCCTGTGTTTGGCTAAATGTCTACTTTTGGCTTATTGTATATTTGTAAGTCGTTTTAAAACAAAGCAAACCCATGACCAGATTGGGTTTATTCCGATCCTATTGGACAGAGTGGACTCTGCTGTGTGTAGGATCAGTACTAGGCTGCGAACCACAAGGTCAGCAGTTCAAACCCACTGCTCCTTGGAAACCCCCTACAGGGTGGCTGAGTCAGAACCGACTCGACAGCACTGAACAACAATGAACACACTAGAAGTGCCCCACAGGGTTTCTGAGGCTGAAAATCTTTGCAGAAGTAAACTGCCACATCTGTCTCCCAAACAGTGGCTGGTGGGTATGAACCACTGACCTTTACAATAGCAGCTGAGCCTTCACCACTGCACCACCAGAACACCTTTTGTGGGCTTCAGAGACAATCTTAAATCTAGTTATTGGTTGTGAGAGTCAAGGTCTTGTGCCAACTTACCTAGGCCTGGATTCTCAGTAGTTCGCAATTAAGATGTAGAACCACAAGGTCAGCAGTTCAAACTCACCAGCCACTCTGAGTCACTGTGAGTCAGAACCAACTCCACGGCACTTAACAACAACAACAACAAACCCCTCATGAATCCTGGTGTGGTGCTGTAGGATAAGCACTGGGCCACAAGAAGGTTTGAACTGCAAGGTCAATAGTTCAAATTCACCAACAACTCCTTGGAGGCTCTACACGGTGTCACTATGAGTCAGAATCAACTCTACGACACATACAACAACAACAAATTCCTCATGAGAAGCCCACTGTAGGATAAGCATTGGACTGCTAACTGAGGCTGGTGGTTCAAACCCACCAGCCTGTCCTCAGAAACTCTATACAGGGTTCCTATGAGTCTGAACCAACAGCACTTAACAACAACAATTCCTCCTGATGACATCTAAGATACTGTAATCATCCTCCCTTGATGTGATTATCCTATATGTTGTAAATCTCCACTTCTTTGACCTTAATGAAGCCAGATGCAATCTGCAGGTTAAGCTGTATGTTGAATCAATCTTGCTTGAGATATATAAGAGAGTAAACAGGCAAGCAGAGTTCAGAGGAATCTACTACCACTGAGAAAGAAGAGGCTTTGGACCTGGGGTCCCTGCCTTGTGAAGCATCTAGATTCCAGGGAAGGATTGATATCAAGACACATGGAAATCTCCAAGGAATGCTGAGACGACAGATTCTGAAACAAGACAAGGACCTTTCTCCAGAGCCGGCTCTCTCTAACTTCAGACATCTAACCTCCCAAACTGTGAGAGAATAAATCTCTGGTTGATACGCCCATACGCTTGCAGTATTTCTGTTATAACAACACTCAAGAAGGAAGAATTGGCATAAACGAAATGCAGAATAAGGTTGCTCCAAGGCACCATCCCACCACTTGTCTGTCAGTTTGTCCTATTGTGGTGGCTTGTGAGTTGCTGTGATTCTGGAAGCTATGCCACCAGTATTTCAAATACCAGCAGGATCAACCATGGTGGACAGGTTTCAGATGAGTTTCCAGATGAAGACAGACTAGGAAGAAGGAGAGACAGACTACTTCTGAGTATTTAGTCACTGAAAAGCTTATGAATAGCATATAACACTGTCAAATAGCACCAGAAAATTAAATATGGAAACATGATGAAGAACACCAGAATATTGTCAGATACAGTGCTGAAAAATGAGCCTCTCAGTTTGGAAGGCACTCAAAATGCGACTGGTGAAGAGCTGCCTCCTCAAAGTAGAGTTGACTTTGATGAAGCGAATGAAGTAAAGCCTTGGGGGCCTTCATTTGCCGATGGGGCACAACCCAAAATGAAGAGAAACAACTGTAAACATCCATTAATAATCAGAATATGGAATGTACACGGTATGTATCTAGGAAAATGAAATGGAACGCATTAGCATCAATAGCCTAGGCATTAGAGAACTGAAATGGACTGGTATTGGCCATTTTGAATCTGACAATCACATGGTTACTATGCCAGAAATGACATGTTGACGATAACTGGTATCACATTCATCATCAAAAAGAACATTTCAAGATCTGTCTTGAAGTATAATGTGATAGGATAATATCCATATACCTACAAGGAAGACCAGTTAACACCACTATTACTCAAATGTACACATCAACCACTAAAGCCAGTGATAATGAAATAAAATAATTCTACCAACTTCTTCAGCCTGAAATTGATCAAACATACAATCAAGATGTATTGATAATTACTGATGATTGGAATGCAAAGGCTGGAAACAAAGAGGAAGGATCAGTGGTTGGAAAATATGACCTTGGTGATAGAAATGATACTGGAGATTGCATCATAAAATTTTGTAAGACCAATGATTTCTTCATTGCAGATAACTATTTTAAACAACATAAAAGACAACTATACACATGGACCTCACTGGATGCAATACACAGAAATCAAATTGACTACATCTATGGAAAGAGACAGTGAAAAAGCTCCATATCATCAGACAAAACAAGGCCAGGGGCAGACTGTGGAACATATCATCAATTGCTCATATGCAAGTTCAGGCTGAAGCTGAAGAAAATTAAAACAAGCCCATGACAGCCAAAATATGACCTTGAACATATCCCATCTGAATTTAAAGATCATCTCAGGAACAGATTTGTTGTATTGGACAATAAAGACCAAGGACCACAAGGGTTGTGGGATGACATCAAAGACATCATATAAGAAGAAAGCAAAAGGTCATTAAGAAGACAAGAAAGAAGGAAAAGACCAAAATGGATGTCTGAAGAAACACTGAAACTTGTTCTCTAGCGTGGAGATGCTAAAACAAATAGAAGAAATGAGGAGGTACAAGAGCTGAACAGAAAATTTCAAAAAGCAACTTGAGAAGACAAAGTCAAACAATGAAATGTGCAAAGATTTGGAGTCAGAAAACCAAAAGGGAAGAGCACGCTCAGTATTTCTCAAGTTGAGGGAACTGAAGAAAAAAAATCCAAAAGCGTCTGCAAATGTACATTGACAGAGAACTACTAGAAGTGAAGTCAAGCTGGATTCAGACAAAAGTGTGGAACAAGGGATATAATTGCTGATGTCAGATGGATCTTGAAAGCAGAGAATGTTGACCTGTGCTTATTGGCTATGCAAAGGCCTTCAAATGTGTGGATCATGACAAGCTTTGGAAATCATTGCAGACAATGAGTATGCCAGAACACTTAATTATGCTCATGAGGAACTTGTACATGGACCAAGAGGCAGTTGTTCAAACAGAACAAGGGAACACTGCATGGTTTCAAGTTAGCAAAGGTGTGCGCCAGGGTTGTATTCTTTCACTATACTTATTCAATCTGTATGCTGAGCAAATAATCTAAGAAACTGGATTATATGATGAAAACTTGGCGTCGGGATTCGAGGAAGATTCATTAACAACCTGCGATATGCAGATAATACAACCTTGCTTACTAAAGTAAAGAGGACTTAAAATATTTATGAAGATCAAAGACCACAGCCTTCAGTATGGGTTGCACTTCAGTGTAAAGAAGACAAAAGTCCTCACCACTGGGACAGTAAACAACATCCTTATAAATGGAGAAAAGATTGAAATTGTCAAAGACTTCATTTTGCTCAGTTCAGACATCAACACTCACGGAAGCAGTCAAGAAATTAAGCAATGTGAGAGAACAAACAAGATGGCAGATCAGGTAGACATGCAGTGAGGAGCTCTGCTAGCAACAACACAGAATACTAGACCAAGCATGCTCAGGTGATGGTGCAGAACTCTGAACCACATATAAAGGAATATTTAGAAGGTTTGAAGGCTTATAGCTAGGGGAATTTGTAGCAGAGGCAAGAACTCCATTGCTTTCTAACTCAAGACACTCAGCTGCTCCTGGAGCCACCATCTTGGGAGAGATCAAGGGAGGGAAAGATCAGAGCAGCCATACATGCCTGACAGAACTGTGGAGATAAAGGAGGTGTGGACATTCTCTTTTTTAAAAATATGTTCATTGGTCTCTCATCTGTGCACCTCCATTCTGGTGACTAGAGGGGGTGCCTGAGTGAGTGGACACCCCACCCCCACTCCCACCCCCAGAGGTTTCCACTACACATACACACAGATCTCAAAATTTAAAGTAACAGTATCGACTTAAAATCAAACTGCAGTGCAAAACAGCCACAGCCAGCCCTGAACTGTTTCTCACTAGGAAAAAAGCATTAACTGGGATTGTGGAGCAGGACAGGCAGACTAAAAAGGAAATACACTGAAAATTAAATCCTGAGTAACATCCCAATGACCAACAGTGGCATCTTGAAATTTCTCAGGAAGAATGAAAAGGGATGCCCATCTCCTGATCACATCTACCTGGAGGCAATTAGAAAGCATAAAAAATACCAAAATACACACCTAACTAAGTATTAAGGCCACAGATAACTTCTGAATATGCCCAAAAAACAGAAACATATGACCATATCAACACATGTCCAGAAACACGATAAAGTGACTGAGGCAAATGAGCTGGAAGTAGACCTACACTCCATACTGGAAGATGGACAGGCTTTGGAAATGCCTGAGAAGGAATTCAGGAAAATGATTATAAAATGTATCAAAACACTATACAATGGAGTTGGGAAAAATAAGGAAGAAGTCAGGAAAGTGCTACAGAAACAATCAAA